CCCGGTGACAGGTGTCCCACCGCCGCGGCCGCGCCCCGGGTGGGGTCCCCGGCCGCCGGCCCGCCCCGGGCGCTAACTTGCGGTGCCCTGCGCGCAGCCCCGCGCTCGCCCTTGCCTGGCCACGCGTTCCCGGGGAAGGACCCGGGGAGCTCGGGCTGAGCGTGGGCGGGGGTGCGGGTCGCGGTGCGCGAGGCGTTCCGGTTATCCTTGGGTTATGGAGCGAGCCTTCACGGAGTCCTGTCTCCCCCCACCCCCCATCCCTCGCCATCCACCCCTACCCCCGCGGCACTCGGTTATACCCAAAGCACTTTGCTGGCCTTTTGGTCGCGGTTATTCCGGCCAGGGCTTTCAGGGCTGAGCCAGGGTTGGGGTTGCCAGTGTGAGAGCACAGCCCAGGTGGGACGGAAGCCGGCGCATCTCCCTGGGCGATTCCAGGCTGACCTCCTCCATGCCTGGTCCTGTCAGGAAACCCAAAAACACTGATAGATTAAAAAGCGCTTCTTAGATCTATTCCAGTAACACGGCCGAAAGGGCAATGTCAGTTTCTGTTTCTTCAATTGCTGGCTTGACTCGAAGTCAGATTTTAATAATGCACGACTGTGTGACTCCATTCTGGGCTGCAGTTAATAAAAGGTTCGGCGACTATGAATGTGTCAAGTCCACGGTAGCAGTTAAGAAGTTGCGCTCGAGTGAAGTTTCCCACGTTGGGGATAAACCGTTAGTCGCATCCACGCAGTGGATGCACAGTGAATAATTTTACATGCTCAACTTTAATGTATCAGATGCCTAACTTTTTCTTACACGTGTCCTGGAGAGCGCCATGTTGCCGATATTAATCATAGCTATTCCCCCCCACATTTCTCTTTTTCTCTCTGTGTGTCTGTGTCTGTCTGTCTGCTCTGTCTCTCTGCCTCTTTCTGTCTGTCTCCCTCCCTCCCCACCCGCTGAGACAGTTTCTCTCTATTCTGTAGCTCCAGCTGTCTTGGAACTTACCATGTAGATCAGGCTGGCCTTGAACTCTCAGAGATCCACCCGCCTCTGCCTCTAGGTGCTGGAATTAAAGGTGTGCGCAGCCACCACCCGGCAGCTGCAACCTCCTAATGCACCAGAAGTGTGACATCCATCTCCATGGCCTTCGCATGAGAAGGTTAACCGTTTGCTCTTGCTGTATAAACTACGTCAACGTTTTGTGAGCCTCCCGGGTTGGAAGCTCACAAACTGGACATAGTAAATAAAGGGGCAAAAAGTTCCGCTAGTGGGCAAAAATAAACTGTGTGAAAAGGCATGCTTACTATCATGCGCAGCTAGCTGAGTGAAGTCTGTTTGGCTTATTTGAATTTACATTATAATGTCTTGGTGGCAGTTGCTTAGTGGGAGCTTCTTGTCAACTGCTTTGTGAGGGCGGTGCTTTGCTGTGGAGGCTGTCATTTTTCACAAGCACCCTCATGCTCTCTAGTGCCTTTGTTACTTCTACCTTTGTTACTTTGGACTTCTGTGTTCAGTTGTGCTGCTTTTGACTGCGGTCGAGAGCGAGGCACTTCATCTTGCGGCCAGCACCTCTGTAGTCCGTGGCCGGATGAGCAGGCAATCTGGGAGGGAAGGGCAGCTGGCCCCTGCAGCCTTAGTCGTTTGTGTCGCCGTAGTCTGGCCCTTTGGGACCATTTCAGTGGCCGATTAAGCGAAACAACACTGAGGAGGTAACTCTTCCTGAAAGAATGTGGAGCGCAGGACTCAGGACTCAGGAGGAACGAGGTCCCTGCCAGGCCCAGGTGGCTGTGGTTATCATATCAGTGTGTGTGCTGGGTATGAGTGTGTGTGTGTTGCCATGCATGCGTGTGTGGAGGCCTGAGGCCAACATCGCAGGCCTTTCCTTAATCTCCCTCCGCCTTTATTTTTTGAAATTATTTATTTATTTTTGGGTGCATTGGTGTTTGGCCGGTATGTATGTCTGTGTGAGGGTGACAGATCTTGGCGTTACAGACAGTTCTAAACTGCCATGTGGGTGCTGAGAGTTGAAACCCATGTCCTCTGGAAGAGCAACCAGTGCTCTTAACCGCTGAGCCATCCCTCCAGCCCCTCCACCTTTATTAATTAATTAATTAATTTATTGAGATAGGGTCTCTCACCGAAAATGAAATTCCTTGATTCAGTTAGGCTGTCTGGGCCAGTGAGTTTCAAAAGGCCTACCGGCCCCCCTCCCCACCAGCCGCTGGGGTTGTAGTACCCAACACCATGGCCATCTTCTTTTAAAAATAATTTTTTATTAATTACACGTTAATCACTTTGTATCCCCCCTTTTGACATGGCTACCAGAGAGTCCAAGCTCAGGTCCCAGTGTTTGCACACCAAGCACTTTCTAGGCCTGCGCCCGAAGTGGACATACTTAATACAAAGAGATTTCAGACAGGGCGGTTGAAATGGTAGAAGATGATGAGTTTTTTGGCATTTGCTGCCCCATCCAGCCCCATGTTTTTCTAGTCTCGCCAGCTATAGTAGGTTAGGCAGGGTACGGAGCTCTTCTACCAAGGAAGAAATGAACAGTTTCTCATTTAACCTCTACCTAGAGCCTCTTGTAGCTCAGTACTACCAAGTATAACTTTTTACATTGATGGGACTATTCTGTAAATCTATCTTATATGATAACCATAAGCCACACATGGCTGTTGAAATGTGGCCAGTCTGACTGTGGAACAGATTTTAAATTTATTTCACTTTAATTAACTGAAATTGCCACATAGGGATAGTGGCTACCATATTAGACAGTGCAACTCTGAATTCCCACCACTCATTTCCAATAGGCATACATTTGATGGCAATTATCCCTTAATTGGGAAGAAGGAGAAATCTGCACTGTACTGCTGGGAATTAAGATTTAACTTGAGAATCCTGTTTTATGAAAAAGCGCTTGCATTTATGCTGGATTTCGTTTCTGCTCCAAGGACAGTTGGCTTTTTCAGCTTCTGCCTCTGCCAGTCACAGACGTAAGCATCACCCCAAGCTGTTTGGAATCATGTCTGGGTGGGCACTCACAAAGGAACAAGGCTCGCTCCCGCGCACTTTGCAGATGATTCATTCTCAGAGTCGGCTTCTGCGCTTGGTAAGTTTTCAAGCCAAGGAGGAGAGATTTGGGGAAATGGAGGAAAGACTGTGGTTATGCCTGATTGTTCCTTTCCTCTCGTAAAGTCAGCCCAGAGAAAAGTGGCAACACAGAGGAGTTGAGGGCTGAAGCCTACTTGACAGCCCTTCATGTCTGGTGTCCTCCTCTGGAGCTTCAATCTGGACACCTCTATCCTTGCTTGCTTCACACTGCCCATAGGGTTTATCAAATCCACTTAAAATACCAGCTACTATCATTTTTAGTAAAGTGGGATTTGATTTAGCTTCTGCTGGATGGCTTCCATTTTAAAACGAACTTGCTTTGATTAAAACCATCATTTTGATAGTGGAGAAAGCACGCTTTTTTTAAATTAGATGATTTCACAAGGTATCGCTTCTCACGTTTCTTGAATGAGTGACCCTCACCCTGCCCAGAGCCTAAAAGGCTGTCTATAGGGGAGACCTAAGGGGTTCCAGGTCTCTTGGAGAGACTACCCTTCGGTCAGTTATTGGAAATTGTTGAATATGTCAGGATATATTAGAGTTAGGCTAAAATAACCCTAAGGTATTTGTGCCTTGAAGGTACTAACAGTCTACAAGGGCAGTGTTCCAGTGGCTGTTCCACAGGCAATGGGGTGCTGTTCCACAGGTAATGGGGTGCTTCTATAACTATAGTAAATGTTTCAAATAGTCGCAACACCACACCAAAGCCTCTGAGATGAAGAACCATGTTTATTTAGCTTTAAACTAGAACAACTACTTTGTTGGTGTTTTCACACATCACAGTATTTTTCAAACTGCTTGTCTCAGGTCTTAAAATCAATTTCCAGATGAGGGTCACCATTTTCCTTCTGAAACAGAACCCTAAAGTTGTCTGTGCGCTGTCCTCTGTGAAAGTTTTTGTTTCCTTGATAGATAGTAATGACCAGGTCACAAGGAATTGGGAATCGGGCAGAAGTGGCTTGAGCACTCTTCACTCCATGGCCTAGTTCATCTGTGCAACACGGTTTGTGCCTGTTCATTGTTTGTAGTCGTTGTAGTGGATGGGTGTGTCCTGGTTCAGATACAGAGTCCTGCCCGTGACTCCCATCTCGGGACCCCTTTGAGAAACACTGATTGAAGACCTGTGTAGTTGCTAGCAATCACCTATACCTTAGCGATTACTCTTTGCCGAGGGCCCCTTGTGAGCTCTGGTTTTCCTTTGATGGAGGAGTCCTGTTTTCCCACAGTATCTCCATCTCATTTGTTGGTGAAGGCAGTGAGTTTGGAGACAGACCATATGTCCAGTCA